ATTTTTGATCGGAAAATTGTTCTTTCTCACTCGTTCTATCTATCGAATCAGTAATTTGATGCGTAGAAGAGAACGGATGTGAAGGAACAAACATATTTTGCAAAACTATTTTTATTTTGTTAAATGGTAACATTTCAGTGATAAATATCGACTAAAAATTAGTTTTTCTCAAACAGTTGGCTTTCTCTCTAATTTTTTTTTCAGTTACGGAAATCAATCAGTATGAAAATTATTGTTAAAGAGTTTTATTAATATTACAATTTTTATTAAAATAATCAATTCCTCAATAAATAAAAAAAATTTTATTTTTATTTGAAAATGGCATGATTCAATGCAGAACTGATATTATCTTCCGATTATGTTACTTTTATTATTATTATTATTATTAGTTTTTTTAAGTTACAAAAAGTGGCAATAACTTTTAATTATTTTTCCATCAAAATACACAATGTGTAACTCACGTTATCGCTTTGTACAAAATTAAAGTGCATGGATTTTTTTATGTTTTTTCTTATTATCAACTTATCAATGAATTATTGTACTAAGAGAAAACATAATCTTTTAATAATTGTATTTCTAAGTAAATACTACCAACAATCTTCGCCAATTTTTATCAGTTTCAGTTATAAATTCATTTATAATATGCAAAATTTCTTTATTAGACTTTTGAAGTAATGTTTGTTTGGGATTTTCAAATTATTTTCAAATCAGATTTTAGTAAATTTATAATCGATTTAGCATAAATTTTTGTCTGGCAAATTTAAATTTCATATTAGTTACAGCAAATAAAACACTGTTTTGTGATTAAAAAATTCTAGGATAAATTTTCAGTACTTGAGTGATTTTGCATCACCTTTCATGCCATACTAATTTTAATCCCAGGAAAAATGATTTGAGCACTAAATGAAGTATAAAAAATAGAAAAGTGGTCTCAATAATTGGCATTGTAAATCTTTTTTGCTTCCATAACTGTATACAAATTCAGTTCAATTTTCTTAGGCAACAAAATGAATGAGAAAAAACAGAGAAAATAATTATATAAATTTCAAAAAATTATTCTGAAGCCAAATTTTTGGAGGAATGTCTGACTGAACTTACAAAAGCAATTACAATTTGAAAAAATTAAATCTGACTGATGTCAAATTTCAGTAAAGAGTTCAAAGTATGCATCCATGATTGCACAAATAAACAAATTTGCATTCATAAAACATCTCTCTCATAAATCAAAATTTAAATTGAAAAGGAGACAAAATTATGAATAGAAAAAACTTTTTAGATAGCTGTAAATTTCAGACAATAAATCATTGAATAGGTTGAAGAATAATCAAAGTGTTAGTAAATCAAATTTACTTTTGACTATTTTCAACATATTGATCGCAATCGATTAGTGAAAAATGATCTGATCTGGTGATAGCTCTTATATCTTAGCAATAAATACATGCCTTAAGAATAAATCTGATCTATTTCGGTGAAAATTTCAGTTAGACACGAAAATCAGTATTGTATGCGAAGGAATTAAATTTTTTGATAGAATCTCTCATGCAGTTATCGCTTTTCTTTTAAATTTTTTCAATCGATTGAAATAATTTACTGTAACTTTCAAGAAATTTAAAAATTTGGAATAAAAAATAAAAAGTAATGCAATTATGCTCGCTCAGCAATTTTTTTTATCACTTCACAAATTTGAAATCATAGAAAAAAATTGAAGTATGAACAGTTTTTGCTTACATTATAGCAGCTAACACGCCTTAGTTTGGCTTCAGAATTTTTTCGATAGCTTCAATTATAATGGCTTAAATAAAAACAAGCAAACATTTGTTTTGTGTTTCGAAAAAATTGTGAAAATACAAAAAAGTTGAAAGTAAAATTTGACAAATAAATTGTTTTTAACCCACAAAATATTTTATATTACAAAAACTTTGGAATAGATCAAACTTTCTCGCAAATGCATATTAACGGTCATCGAGCGATTATTCCGAAACAGATATTCCACATGAGTATGCTCAACAACTTACTTATTTGTGATATCTGAAACGGGTTGATTTCAAGGCAATAACCGAAGACAAAATGACATTTTACCTATTCTTCGGAAGTATTTCCAAGCAACAAAATTTTATTTATTGCTTTCACGTGATTGTGTGATTCTTAAATGGAAATTCTGAAATAATTCTACAAAAACACTAAATTACATTTCCTCTGAATCAGCAAATAATCTGAGTAAGTTGTCTATTTTTCAGCAATTTCAACAACAATTATAACGACAATTATTTTAACAATTGTATGTTTATGTTTGCTAAACATTTTATCTTATAATAACTCTTGTTTGCTTTGATCAGCATATTCATATCACATGACAAAGAATAAAATATTAGTTTCAAAAGTTTTTCTAAAATATAATATCAAAAAATTTTCATAAATCTCCGAATAAATAGAAATTGCAAGAGAGTTTTCAGAAGAGAATCTTTTTTGGTATTTTAAAAAAATTGTATTTATTAGTAATTACAATTATTGCAATAGAAAAACATTTTCTTCAATAATCTGAAAATGTTAAAAATTTGTCTGTCTGATAATTTGATCGCCAACCACCTTAAATATACCCAATTCATTCATTTATTAATTTTTGATTAAAAATATCATCAAAAATTAATATAATTTGGGATTTTTCCGCAATTTTCGCCAACTTTTAAACTAATAAAAGTTACCGCTCGGTGTTTTCATCCATGAAATTTAAATAAATTAACAAGCGAGATAAAGAGAGCATTTATTCATAATAGTTTTTGTTTGATTACTGAAGCTTGAATGCTACGTATCCATGTGTCTATAATTCAAAACGAATAAAAGTGATTGCTCAATCATAAATAATTTAAACCGAAATGAAGTTTGAAAAACAAATCAATAACTGTTTCATTACATTTTACAACTGAAATTTTTGCCACTAACTGCTTATTTTTTACGATTTTTGACTTTAAGATAGTAGATTGAATCATCTCAACCCTAATAAAAGTCATTCATAACATTAAAAAACTTTACATTGGACAAGGAAAGTCGATTCGCTTAGCACTACTGTTAGTCTCACATAAAAATGAAATTAATCCACTCTCTTTTTTCAATTATGTATACGTTACTAATAAAATGTAATTAATTTACACCTAAAAAGACTATTTTTTGTAGTTATCAAAGAAATTAGAAGATATAATTTCTCAGTAAACTCTTAATTTATTAAATAAAATTCAAAATTTGAAAGAAAAATCTTAATTAATAAAAATGAGAATTATAGTTTTACAACTGATATCATACAAAACTGTCATGTGTGAAATAAATGTTGGCATTATGTGAAATGAAATTTTGCAGGAGATCTGAATTTTCGCAACTGTTAAGCACAATAATTATTTCAGAGAGTTGTTGTTCGTTTCTAAATTTCAAATATATTATAAAGCGTTTTCTTATGAGCTAATAAGTTGAAAGTAAATAAAGTTTGGTTTCATTCAAACTTTTTTACAAAAAGAAAAAATGGAGTTCAAAAATGTTCAGCTTATTTTGCTCATAATTCAAATGAAGTTTGAATTTTCTTTCATTTAAATCTTCATTAGAATAGATATAAATTTGAACAAATTACCTTTTCCAATAAAAAAACAATAGAAGTTGAACTATCAAAGTTAAATTCTCGACGAATACATTTGCAAGAGAAAAAACAAATTGATTGGAATCATTCGCTCGTGCTAAGTGACAGCTGTTTTTGAATCCTAACAACTTGTTTGGATACAATATTTTCCAGAATATTTTCGAATAAAAAAAAAGATAGCTGCAAGTTTCAGTAGCTCTGCTGCCATCAATTCTTTCGAGAAAAAGTGTTCTATTTGTTAGCAAAGTAAGCAAAAGTTAATTGTCTGATAATAAAATTAAAATGGCGAAAAAATCTTTTCAAAAAAGTTGAAAAGTTTAGTTAAAACAACATTAGCACAAGGTTAGAAGACACAAAGTTAACTGAAGTAAACATTCCAAAAAATAAGAACAGGCGATATTTGGACAAGAAAGCAGCTTGTACTCGTATGTGCTTCAAATTTTAGCTAAAGTACTTCAACAAATAATTACATAATACGGAGGAAAACTTTTCAACTAGAAATAAGTTATTTTTGTTTTTGAAAGGAACAAATTTAATGTGCAAAAATGATTGCGTTTGTATATTATTATTCATGCTATCAAAACATTTCAAATAATAAATTATGCAACAACTTTGTAATTCAGAACCTTGCGCTAGCCTTGCGCAGAGTCTTAGTTGTTTTAGTATTACCCCAAAATTTTCACCGGTCTAACAGTGATGCTCATTATTTTACCATGCAAACAAATCCAGTACACTCATTATGTTTTGACATTTTTTCACGTGTGCGCACACGAAATATTCTTTTTTTTCTACAAAGTGAATACGTTGTTAAATTAAACTAGCCTGCCTTCTGGGATTATTCCATGTTCAGGCCTCAGAAGACGATGCCCGAATATATAATGTATTCTTTAATTTCTCCATTTTCAATTCCTTTTTTTCATTTTCTGATTTATTTGCAATTTTTTCAGCATATTAATATAACGATTTGTTTGCTATTGGTATACTATTTTTTACAACTATCAGTAAACATCGTGATAGTTATAAATAATAATTAGGTTCATGCATTATTTTTTAATTTCTTCTGCTGACTGCTTTTCAAGAGAAGTGTTTCAGCTCGGATTTTTATTTTTAATTAAAAAATTTGCAGGTAAAAAAAGGTGAAGCAAAAGCTATAACAATTTGTGATAATAAAATCATAAGATTTTACCAATTTTCAAATAATGCTGAAAAGTTATTTTAAGTCTGAAAGCAATTGAACAAGATTTAAAGAATATTTCTAGCACTAAATTGAAAGTACGTTAACTGATAAGATGGACAACAATTGAGCATTATCAACGAGAAAATGAAACACAAAATTAAGTGACGGTTTTAACATTCTTCAATTTTACGCATTTGTCACTCAATTTGATGCGATCATGTATGTGCCTGGCACAATATGCAATGCCAGAGCTGCAAGACTGCCAGGATCTGCTGGTAGTTTGTCAAGATCCACATCTTTACGTACTGTACATTTCCTTAATTTGTTGCATGCAGTTTGACTTCTTTGACTGATTAGCGAACAATTTCTAATAACACTGTGAACAAGTTTTGACGGACCTAAAATGGCATGTATTAAGCTCACAAACGACATATTTTGGAATAGTTTGTTGAATTAAATTAAATTGCTAAATTTTTATTCTTCTCGGTACTCAAATATTGCTTTCAGCTTCAAATACCTTTTGAAACTGAAGATAAATAAGAATGTTCGCACAAGTGATTTCTGAATGTATTACCAACATATACATTCGAAGAAATATTTTTCACATTCATATTTCTGTGAATAAAAATTTCAGATAATATCTTATAAGCCAACCACTTCTCAAGCTTGGATATAAAAGAAATTGCTGGAAGTGAAACAAATTAAATATATTAGCGAGAAATATATTATAACAGAATTGTGATCTTAAATCCCAACCATGCATAATTTTTCCACGTTCTTCCTTAAAAACTTGCTGGGAACTGACTCAAGTGATAAGGAGAACAATTTTCCTAACATTGTAAGCAGTCTATTTCAAACTTAGCTTTTTATACTTCTTAATTATGCAAAATATTATTGCATCAAAATCAATTTTGATGCAACAGTATTTTCATATTTAATTAAAGTTCCCGGTTGTTAGTAACGTTATTTGATTATCGTAAAGTTTGCCATATAACTGATCAGACTTACTTTCTCAAAAAACAAATCTTGGAAAGAACGTAAATTAAGTCTGTGCTTACTTACTTTAACGAATAAAGTGTAAGTGAAAAATTAAAGTTCAAGAAAATAAATCTCAACTTAGCTAGCACGCGCATTTCCTCTCACTATGATGAAATATTTCCCACGTTTGACGTCTGCTCACTTGCTTGCTGCTCCTTCTCACTCTCGGAACAAACACTTTACTTCTTTAATGACACGGAATTTCTTAGAATGCTTAAAGTACTATAAAGCATTTTTTTCATATATGTGCATAGACAATTACATGCACATCTGGGAAAAATAACTCTAGAAAAAGCAAACTGCGCACAAACACAACAAACACATATTTAAAGCACGTGGAACGTCAGTCTTGTGTGAATTAGTGAACAGAATTCACTTGTAAGATAAAATGACTATTACCGTAAAAATAAAGTCAAAATTGAGGCATGAAATATGTCATGCATTCCTGATTTTCTTGACTACCTGTACTTACAATCACTAACATTCATCAACTGCAGTTCTTATTAATTACTCAATGAAAACGACGAACACTTTCAATCCGAACGTCATTATTAGTACTGCTGAAGTGTTGCTAAATATTGAAAACAGTCATAATTGATAGGAATGAGCAGTAACTCCACGACTGACACGGGAGAAAATATTAATTAAATGCAACCTTTTACTTCATAGACTTTGCCATAGCTGACAACTAATTAACCTCTTCTTTAACAAAGTTGCGAAAATGATATGACTCGACGACTGGAATGTTTTGAGAACTGTATTTCTGTCTGCAGTCTGAGCACATAGGAAGCGTAACAGGCAAGTGCCGAATGAGAAGAGATTATTGCATTCTTTCACATACTGAAAATTACTTTATGAACGCCGGCTGTGTATTCTTTCATTTCTTATAAATCAATACGTTTCGACTTAAATACTTTGTTAGCAGGAGAAATGTAGCAAATTTACGTACAGTTTGCATGCAATAACTAGAACTCTGCAGAGAATTCAGAAATCAGAAATCACAGAATACAGTCCGATATGTTTTTTAGATTTTGAAGACGCTTTATGCGTAATTAGACATATTTTCAAGCAGAGAACAAGAGCTCTTTGAAAACTTAACTTAGAGTTGAAATGGCATATTGAAAGGGTATTGATTCACTTCTACGTCAATC